ATGATAATAAACTTTCCCCATTAAGTTTGAATTTTCTGTGTCTTTTTCTTTGAAAAAGTAAGGAAGCTTGAAATGGAGGATGAATCGAGTGTTTATATATACTTTGTAAGGTCTCCAACGGTCTCCTTTTGGATGTTAAAAACTTTGTGATTTCAATATATACTATTCTGGATATAAAAATGCATTTGTGTTAACGGTCGTTCATCATTTCGAAATGGGTTCGATAGTGTGAAGTTTTTTCCAGCGAATCAAATTTTGCGTCTGAGAATAAGAAAATTTTCAGTGAGGGCAAAATTTAAAGAATACGAAGAGTAGGGTAGGATACAAGTTGCGTAATTTCTCCCACTTATCAGTATCACAAGTACTATTTAAGTGAGAGTTTTATTTAACAGTAGTATTACTTATGAATATTATCTCTGTATAAACTTTATCTTTATCAAAACTAAATATAATATAATGATTTAAAACCAGAATGAATTAATTGAATGATATAGCGTCAAGCTAGTATTTGTGATGTATCTAATTTTATGTTTTTCGGATTGAAAAAAGTGTTAAGAGACTCAATACATGTTGTAGAATATGTTATGCTCGAATACAAAAAATACACTTTAAAGTTTAAACTATCAACTACGGCAAATAGGTAATGCAACCACAAGTTGCAAATCATTTTCAAATTATAAAACCAAGTAAACATTCCACGCAACAACAACAACATCAAGCAACATTCCAATCACTAATTGTGCATGCCGGAAAGCCAATGAGTTGAAATATTTACTTCTTTTTTTTTGCAAAGATATTTGTCGATTATCCCCCATTTTTAGTTGGATAATAAAATATGTGTGTGTATTAAATTCCATATTTAAACTAAAACTCTGTCAAAGTAAACCAACCACAAAGTGTAGTCAGCACTCTACCGCATACCAAAGTGTAACCACTCTACCCTATAACAAACAACAACAACTGTGACCACAATTACAGCACTGAAATTGACAATTGGTAGCGGTTTAGTCTATCTACGTGACTATACACTAACACATATATATTTTTATGTGTACGCTAGTCAAGCTACAATCATTTACGAACATCCAATTAGATGACGCTTTTGAATTACATATGTCAATTAATTGATGGACAGACACGGCATGCTTGTATTGGCTTGAATTAAGCGATTGCCCATAAACTAAAAACGTTGGTTCATTAATCCACCACACTTCGATATTTACTTCATTTTCATACTCTCACAACATGTTGTAATATAACGGCTGTTTGTAACGCATAAAAGTAATGAGGATGGATACTGAGTTATACAAGTATATGTATATATTTACGTATTTAAATGATCCGGATGACTAGACCAGTCGAGTTCCGGATGTCCGTCCCATTCTTACAGGCGATAACTTGAGTATAAATGTAAATATCTTGATGAACATTTTTACACATTTTTCTTGGAATAACATTTCGGTATTGTGAATGAACAGAGTCGGACTCTGCCATGCACGCTAATCGCCTTTAATCGAAAACATATAATGTGCTATAACTAGATCACAAAGTAAGATAGAAAACTGTAATTTGGCGCAGAATATCGATGTATACACGGGCATCAGTGGTAAACTTGTTGAGAACAATAAAAAATTGGATAAAATTACACGATAACCAAGTTTACTCTCATATTCCTGTTAAGTTGAAAACTACTACAAGTGCGATAACTTACTAAATGTCAGCCAAAGTAGTACATACATAAAAGCTTCATAGGAATCGATGTTAAAATTTGACAATGAGTTATCGTACTTTTGAACTACGAGGTGTCATCAAAAAATAATGGGAATTTTTAAACTTAAAATTTCGCGGGTTTGGAGAGTCCAACTGGTAAAGTTTTATTATAATGTTGATATACAGGGTTTTCCAATAATTGTTAAGGCAATTCAAATGTTTCTTCTTTAATGTGAAGTACAATCGATACAATGAAGTTCTGAATATAACATCATTCAAATGGCCTCCACGACTTCTTTTGCAGGAACGAATTCGATGAACCCAATTTTCGAGTACTTTTTCTACTGAATCAAGTCGTATGTCATGAATAGCATGTTCAATATTGACTTTTAAAGCTTGAGGAGAGTCTGGTTTATAGCTAAAGACCAATTACATCAAATAACCCCACAAGAGGTAGTCTAATGGTGCTAAATCTCAACTTCTTGGAGGCCATTCAATGTCACACTTTCTAGAAATTATCGAAACTCCAAACTTTTCTCGAAATAATTCGGTTGTTGCATGTGCTGTGTGGCACGTAGCTTCTTTGGAACTCGTTGGAACCAGATGTTGTCAAGATCAACTTCTTCACTTGCGGCCATAAAAAGTTGGTTATCATCGATCTATACCGCTCTCCATTGACAGTAACAGTATCACCAGCCGCATTTGAAAATAAATACGGACCGATGATTCCACCAGACCAAAAACCACACCAAACTTTCAAATCCTTTTTCAAAATCCGCCAGGTTTTGGTTTGAGACAGTCTTAATTCTTGAGACGTTTGTTAAGACCATAAAATCGCAAAAGCGCACGAAAAGTTGCAATAAGAGAACAATTATTTGGATAATAAAATTTAATAATTTGTCAACGTTGTTCTTGAATATGTCTTTTTATGATGACATTGTAAACATTATTGAATACGACGAAAAAAAATTACAGATCTTGACATATTCAAAATGGCCGAAACGACACCTAGAAATCATATCATCTCTATTGGATAACCCGATATATGACAGCGCTCGTTAAGGTTAGACTTGTTTTTATGAGCCTGGCGATTTGCGTTAATGCACATGCTCTCACTTCGTTGTTTGTTCGTGAATTCTTTGCTAAAAACCGTACTGTAACTATGCTCAAGCCCCCATATTCACCAGGCATGGCCTCATGTGACTATTTTATATTTCCTGAAATCAAGAGAACCTTAAGGAGCCGTCATTTAACAAGCATAGCAAAAAATATGTAGATAATATAAATTTGAGAATGTGTCGACGATTGGAAGAAGCGCTGGCATAAGTGTATAGTATCGAATGTAGTATATTTTGAAGGCGGCAACGTTAATAAGAAGTAAAACGAGTGAATAAATTTTTTATTTTTTCAAAAAACGAAAACTCCTGTTATTTTGTGAACACATTTCGTAATTTGCAAGATTTTTTAGAACAAGATACCGCTCAAATTTTACTCGAGAGTGATTACAAGCAGCAAGTTATACTTAGTCTCCTAGAATATCAAGGGTAGTAGCCTTGCCCTAAAATAATTACTTCAAAATTGATAGATGCATGGATATTTTTCTATCATCTTTACAAATTCTTTGACAGCAAAAAATTTCGACAAAAATAGTTCTTATGACGTATAGGTATATTTGAATCAAATTTCGAAATTTACAACTTAAAACTAGCAAAGATTATGTATTCTATTGCTTTACTGCTAATGTGTAAAGCCAAATCTTAGTAACCTTAGATAGTGACTAATAATTTTATAAGATGGCTAGTCATAGTTTGCTACAAAACTTCAACTTCGTAATTTTGAAAAGTATTATTTTAAAGGAATGAGGTTTGATTAAGGGATTATATCCACTTACTTTACTCAGTAATTCATTCCCTTGATTAGGTAGCCGATTTCCAGGAGACCCTCCAAAAAAAAGCATCTGACGGTGAGCCAGATTTTTCTGCTTATCTCAAATTGTAAATCCAAACAAATTATATTATTACTATCGATGAATACAGCTAATGATCAAAAGAGTAGTCAAAATTTTGACTTTTGACATAATGGTCGTTTTATGTGACAAAATTTAAAATTCAACGTGGCATAAAAAAGTACAATATTATCAAAAATATTATTCCTTCCTGAAAATTTCAAGTCGATCGAACGTTTTGTTATTCTCACTAATTCTGAAAACAGCTTTTCAAGAAGACGCACTCTAGCACTCACACTTCATTAAACAGATGCAGACATCATTGTCATCATCACGACATTTATCAACATCTTAGATAGGCGCACGGGCAGTAATTCAAATAAAATATGACAATAAACAAACCCTGCAGTCAAATGGAATTTGCAAGCGTCAGCTAAGCAAATAAACAGTCAACTAACCAACCGACTAAGCGACTAAGCAACTGACACTGGAAAGGACAATCAAATGATAGCAGCAACACCTGCAGCAAACAACACCGTCTTACTTGCCACACACATTGTACCAGTATATCTATATGTGTTGGGATGTCTACTATATAACAGACGACAATGGCTAGAACATTTATGAATAATTAATGCAGCAATACGACGAACTATTTATGCACATACACACTGTCATAGCAACACCTCTATGCCCACCGTGAATGCTGGGAAGTTATGTCATGCCATTATTACAAGACGCGCTTTACCTTGCGGCGCCTTGCGGTGCTGCTTTTGTGTGTATATGTGTATTGGTGGAATTTTGCCTTGGTCGTTTGTTTGAGTCTGCTCGTCTCAATTGCAATTGTTGATGCGCCGCTATGAGCCGTGAAGATAAATTCCTTCGCCTGTGGTGAAACATTAGCCCAGTGGGTAACATTTACATTGGCGAAAAGGTGATTGCGGTAATTTGACCTAATTGCTGTGGGAGGCCGCAAGTCAATTTTCGGCTGGCGCTGTATGACAAAGGGTGCGTAAAGCAAATAAATATATTCATTCATATATAGAGTAATTTATATATAAGGATGTACCAGTACAGGTTGGCACACGAGAACAAGTCGTTTCAAAGCTGTGGCAATATAATATCAACATGCAGCTCTGCTGTCTGGCGGTCTAGACACTAGATCATTATGCCCAAGAGTAGAACGCTTAGTATCTTCTGGACGTAAGTATGTAACTCGCTCTCAACAAGTTTTAATTTTTCGCAGTTGTAGAGACCAGACACCTAACCTAACCGAACCAAATATACCGAAGTCGACTTGTAGGAGATCTAGGAACCATATCACACTAAATGAACGTTCAAATATTGTTAATACTCACATGTTTTCGGTACATTTTCTATTAGCGCGTCCAAGCAGACCCATGTTTACCACCAAGTTGCCACTGGCGCTAAGTAAATATATATCAGTTGTTATTTACTTACCAATCCAAACATCCTTAATATAACAGCTCTTGGCCATATAAAATTCTAGTTCGGATCAATTCGTTAACGTACAACCGGCTGTTGTGGAAGTCGATATTTGGTGAACAAAACTGCTAAACTCTGCACGAAAGTACAATAATATTGTTGAGCTCCTTACCCCCTCACCCTCTATAATTCCAATGAAGCCTGAAATGATCAAAGTTATAAGCACTTCCTTTCATAGACATACTATTTCAACAATGTCTGAAGCACGAAGGGGCACGAAATTTATAAGAGAAAGCGTTGCCGGAAAATTACAGGAAATGTAAATTAAAGCCGTAATATTTTATTATGTTGTTAAAGTAAAAAGTTGTAGTTGGACAAAAGTAAAACTATGGAAGACTTGAATCAAGCGCTTCTTAATTTCGGTTCTAAGGAACGAAATGTAACAACATCCATCTCTTTGATATTCTGCTTAAAGGTTATGGATCTTTGGATGATACCATTTGAATTCAAAGTTGGTCATAGTTCAGCTGGTGTAAACACTATAAAAACATGTAAGGAAGGGCTAAGTTCGGGTGTAACTGAACATTTTATACTCTGTCAACTTGCAAGATTCAATGCCTTCAGGTGCTGGCAAAACTTGTTGCGAAAGAATCTAGCATTCATTATTCAAAGAAATCGCGAATAAATTACAATCAAATTTGTTATCTTCCTGACTTATATTTAAGATCATTAACTTAGACTTAATTTGATTGCTAAATTTTAGTTCGCGTCAGCTAAAATTGTATTAAAAACACCTTTAAATGAGGTCAACTCAACCGAAGAAACTAAATTTAATATATTGAGTTGATGTCAAATATTAACCAGAAGATCGGAATTCATTATATTAGAAATATAAAAGGTTTAGACAAGGTAAACCAGTTCCATTCTAAATCAGCGCTAAACCATATAATTTTTAAGAAACGGTAATATAAGAATGTTATACACCTTAAAGTTTTGATACCGGCTCTCATAAAAGAGGGCTGTGCCATCATGGGTATAAAATTTAATGTCTCTGGTTAATTTAGTTATTGACCTTATCACACTTCTCGTAGTTTTTAACAAAACCATCAAATGGGAAGTGGGCGGGGCTATCATCCGATTTCACATTTCACAAATATTTTCACACTATCGTAAGAAGGGTTGAAAGAACTTGTTCTGCGCAAATTTGGGTCATATAGCTTTATTGGTTTCGAAGATATATACACATGTGCACTAAGTTTTATCATGATATCTTAATTTTTACTCAAGTTATAGCTTGCACAGACGGTTCAATAGCATATCTCGCAGATTGACTGATATTTTCGACAAAATGTTTGCGGTAAGAACTTAAATCCACATATTCGGTATCATGGGGCTTGTTGTGGTCTGATTTTAATAATTGCCTAAAACACAAACTAATTGACATATGGAGATCAAACTTTACGCGGTTCGTGCGCCCCTTTTAAATGGCTCCACTGTATAATATAGGTGATTTTAAATTCATTAAACACGCAATAATTTTTTTTCAAAATTAATTATGTAATAATCTAATTTCATTCATATAAATATATGTAAGTATTCCTCACTTATGCGCAGAACACGAGGTTCAGTGACAACAAAGGAACATATTTTTAGTCATAGTTGCTAATAAGTTTTACAATTTTTTACTCCCAAACCCGCCATAACTTAATACGGTGCTATTATGGAAGAGAAACACTTGCTAAACGCTGTGAATTTACGTAAAATCTGAACTGAGATTCGAACTTTTGTCAGAGCAAAAGGTAAAGTTCATAAACTTTACACTGCATTTAGTCATAGGGGAAATATGCTGTTCGGGCTCGTGAATTTTTAATAAGCCAAACAAAGCAAAGTTCGAGCAGATGTTTAGCAATCACATGTACATATATTTGTAAGTGAAATTTTATGCTTGAAAAGAAAAGAAAATTTCGGCGTTGGCACAGAGTTGTCATTGTCGCTTAACAAGTTTACGATATTACATATAGGATGTATACTTATATATATTATATATATACTCGTATATATATAAATGTTACCGGCTATATCGTAAGTGTTTAACCAATTTAAAAATGCATGCTTGTGGCATGCTAAGCAGTGCTTTGAGGCAAAGATTGTAGCCATGATCAAGAATTTCACTACTTATATGGGTGCATCCACTTATTGTCGTGCTTGTGTTTTCTGTTTATACAGGCCACATGACTCATTTATCAGTCAAAACCAAAACCCAAAAACAATGGCAAACTTATTCCCAGTTACCACTACAAAAAATGTGCGCACTAACTAAATGTTACTTTGCTTACATATATACATACAAGTATATATGTACATATGATATAAGCTCAAAATTTTATATTTAAAGTAACAGTGTACACAGTGTCTGAAAATAGCGCAAACGTATAGATACAAAGGCGGATCTAAGTAGGGGGCCGAAAAATTTAAGTTAAGTAAGTGTAGCACAAATCCGAACGAATTTGACAAAAGAGGAGACAGGTTCACTTAATGAAAGCGATATCCTAGAGCAGGTCGATCATAAGATCCTATCCTCAACTCTGAACATCAACAACTGGTAAGAAGAATTACAGAAAAAATCTGTAAAGAAGCATAGAGATGTTAAAATCCCTTGACAGAGTAAAAAAGCTATGTACAGGAGGTCCGCAGCTTGGAGCTAATGTTACTGTACTGAAAATTGAAAAACTCGTCACCAAAGGAACATCAGATCTCATGATCTTCAGTGATGAAGACTTTTGCATGCCTGAGCTTAGCTAACCATCACTCTGTTTTCCGAAAAATATTCAGTACCACCACAGAACAAGGGTAACTCATGCATAAGTTAGCAGACGCAATACTACAATACATTGCCGACATTGAACAATGTACACTTTTTCAAAAGATGAAGGGCAACTACGCATTAACTGAGAGCTCAACAAATCTTCGGTATCAAACTTCGAATCCACCAATCCATCTAAATTCATCACTATAGGTATTTCACGGTCTTCTCTAATAAATCGGTATCGATAAGTTGCACTACTGGATGAGGTACAGAATTGATTTTAACATCAAAGTCGATGATGGAGTTACTTTTAGTAGTTCGCACGTACGTTAGCATTTATTAACAAATTACCGGAAAAAGGCAAAGAAACCTTGTGAGCGGGGTGCGAAACATCGGTAAACATTAACTCTATCTGTATGAATGATGTATAAAGAGCCAAATCTAAGCACTAAGGACGAAAAAACCGAATTCGTTAAAATTTAAACTATCTATTTTTAACTGAGCTCCAATAGCATAATGTTTTAGAGTCACGTTTTTTTTTTTTTTTTGATTTTTTTTTTTATTTGATACCGCCTATGGAACCGACACAAACCCCCATAGACAGTGACGCCTCCACTGTTCCCAAAATCGGCAACGAGTGCGACTAAAGCTGCAGCTATACAAACATAGGCGACAGCAGCATACGAGTAAGCTAACAAGCCATTGGCATTAAATGCACGTGCATTCCAGTACAAGGCATTCAAAAATGTTGTGGTGCCATGAAGAAAAATACGTGGAAGTTTTGGTACAGAAAATGCAACTGAGGCTGCGGAGACCGACGTGGTGAGAAACTAAACCGGAAGATAACTTAATTTACATTATGAAAAATGCAAACTGTATGCAGCAACGCTGCAAGGCAGTGAGCTTGTCAAAGTAAAGGCAAAAACACCAGCGTTATTCTGCCTAGCTACCCCATGCTATGGCAAACATAGCTGCAAGAAAAAGGATATAGCAAAAATTTAATAAACAGAAGAAGGCAAAATGCACACAATAAAAATAGATATATAAATTGTCAGCACCAAAAAAACGTAACATAGACCGGGCGATATTAACTCACTAAACGCCTAGCTTGTCGACATGATGAAGCGCAACAGACAACGCGTCGCTGGAGCACAGCTACCGGGCAATGCCGCTGCACCATGAGCAGCGAAGTGATCACAGGGGGTGGGCACTAAGCACCTAGCTCAGCATAAGTTGCTAAAAATCTTTTCGTTAAGCTCGCGTCATAATGGGATTTTTGTTGATGCTGCAACATCGCGCTGGCCACAGCATAACTGTAGCGACACACCAACCGACGTTGATAGCGGCAACGTACAGCGTGTAAAAACTACAAACAAAAGGGAGACTGCTAAGTTGACACTAGTTTGCTGCCAGCACCAATGGCAGCAACAATAACATCATCATTGTAACATCAACGGTCTCATCATCGTCAGTGCATTGCTGCTGCTGGCCAACGGCGCATTACGCTGGCATCTGGCATCACTGTGTGTGCACTGATCGCAAGTGACTATCGCTTGGCGGCTGCCATCTCAGCACCAAAAGCGGCAAAAACAACATCTTACAACAGTTTTTTCCACTATACGAAGTATGCTGGGGCATGCTGTTTGCTGTACGCCCTGTTAACACATAGCAGATAAATTATGCTCGCGTACACCCGGCGCAGGGAAGCAAAATGCAAGTTGACTGCAGCTCAACAGCAGGTTGAGCTCTGCTCAGCAAAGGTGAGTTCATGAGGCAAGCGATGTGTCTTGCCGCTGCTAGGCTTGCAGCTGCCTTGCTGCTTTCTTTATGGTTATTTTATGTAAATGTTATGTTTGTTTGTTAGGTAAACGGCGTGAAGCTAAAAGTCGTCCGACAATCTTATTAATTTATGTCATATAATGTTTATTTACTAGAAGAGATTTTCAGAATAACTAAGCATTACCTTTTTCGTTAAAAACTTTGTAGTTTCGTGCCTTTGATGGCTATTTTGACAACATGTAATATATGGTATGAGCTTCTTCTCGAAAGAAGAATCGGACCACATATCATAGCTTAACCAGACAGGGTCATTTAGTGTCAGACTTTCAAGGGTTATTTAATGCCATAGACCCTAGAAGAACAACTCATGTCTTGGAATACTAGCAACCCAGGGCATACCATAAGGTTACTTTGGGGTAGTATTTATGACGAACAGACATCATCTACCTCTAGACACAAGTAATCTTAGTAATATTGTAAGGGTCATCACAGGGCACCCACCCTTAAGATTCCACCTTCAGAGTTTTGTAAAAGTGGGTTCGGCGGAATGCAGAGCATGCACTGGGGATGATGTGAGGCTCCTACGCCTCCCCTTTTCCACCTTCTTATCTTCTTACCGCGAAAACCGCTACTCAATTTGTAAAGGCCCATTCACTATTTCCAAGATTATATAAGCCACGATGCAGACATCATAACATCAATGCTCTTATGACACAAAGTAACGGGCGCAGAGGCTATCCTACCATTAGTCCAATATTCATTTCTACTGTATGATCCCAGGATACTCATGCGGCGAAATATGAACCAATTATTTAGC